ACGACGACGGCCCAAACAAACTCCCTCAAATAAATGGTAGTATTAAGCCCACTATTTGTTGTATATTAGTTTCTCATCCGGGGCTTCTCCTAAAGTGGATGCGGGCTGGCGGGCCAACACCATTATGCCATTATTTGCTGGATTTCCCCTCCCCATAAAATTTGTTTTGGAAAAGTGCGCATTAAGCATTTATATAGCAACTTTCTGGAAAACAGCACAAAATCAGTAAGTGCAACTGAAAGCACGTTTTCATAATTTTGTACCCAGAACGTCTGGCGTTTTTCGGCCCTGCCCCTGGCTTCCGGTAGAACTTTTATAGCTGAGTTTGGATATTTAATAAGTATGTACGTAATGCGGGAAAAACTTGCAGTTTGGTTATGAAATTTTCTATTTTAAGTATAACATTTGGTTAGTATAACATCACAAAATTTATAATAATGGTCAAAAATGGCAATAATAATGGCGAACAAGGCCATTTTCTTAAAAAAGCATGCGGGCGGGGATGAGAAACTAATATACAGCAAATAGTGGCCTATAAAGACAATTCGTGGTATATTAGCAATCGTATGAATTTAATACAATCGTATGAATTCAATGGGTTTTATGTTTGGGAAGAGTTCTGCTGAAGCCAGTTTGAAGTTGCACTTGTTGCGGCTTGAAATGCAGCCGTTGTATCAAGACGTGAAAATCTGTCAAGCGAAAAACACACTGCCCAAAGATTTTATTATTTATTCTAGTAGATGTGTCATAATACTCAGTAGCTGCAATAGATTGGATACCTGATACCGTTGCACTTTTGAGAAAAAATAATTTACCGCCAGTATACTAACACGAATATTTAATCAGCTGTCCGAAAGACGTTTTTTAAAGATACACAATGTTTTGTTTGCTTCAAATGATCAGGATAATTTTTAGTTTAGGTTTATGCCTAGGCAGGAAATAATAAAATATGTAAGTTTCAAGAAGTTAGAATAAAAGCGCGAGATGAACTGTGAGATATAAAAAAGCTCAAGTATCACTTGCGTAATTAACGTTTTAACTTGTTTTCGAACGCGTCCGAAAATAATTGCGAAAAAATTTGTAAAACTGACTACAATTTCCAAGTCAACGTTTTTTGTTCATTTTATGAATGACTTCTTCCACACAGAAAGTTTGAAGGAAATCTGTAATCTTAAGAAATTTGAGTGGTCGGTTTTTACACGGACTGCCTCTTAAACATTAAGTTAACCCTATTCCAAATACATTTTTAAACCATTCAAATGATGAAAGTTATTGTTGTTTTTTAAGCGTCGTTTATTAGCAATGGGGACGACCAACATGGCCGCCATCTATTCAAATGGGGGTAACCGCTGGAATATTCTTGGCTTCAATTTTACTAAAAGAGATGCACTATCTAGTGTATATAAGATATCTATGATGTCACCTGAGAAAAAATGACAAAATTGTTGACTTTGTTGTTGCCAAACTTGACTACAATAAGAAAATTTGGGACCGGCTGTAATTAGCCTCAAGCTGTTGAGGTTGCCCTCAGTGGCGTAACTGGGGGGGGCGCCCCCCCAATGTTGTAACATTGCAGCATAGTCGGGCAATTTTAGCAATTTTAACGACTCGCTCGTCGGGCAAAAGATATGTAATAAGTTATTTGTATGTTTGCATGGTGATAAAATATAATAGGTTTTGTTTGTGGAAACACCACGTAAATTTATTACTGCAAAGCTTTCGATCCGCAAGCCCGGATCTTCATCAGTGCTAATAATATGTCATACATATTATTAGCACTGATGAAGATCCGGGCTTACGGATCGAAAGCTTTGCAGTAATAAATTTACGTGGTGTTTCCACAAACAAAACCTATTAAAAGATATGTAATTCAGCGGAAACTTTTACATAATAATTGTAGGAAAAATTTGATAAATTAATGGCCTGTGTGCAGCCTAATAAATTAACGAAAATATTACTGAAGTTAGTAAAAAAATGGTATCCCCTCCGCGCCAACAATTTTGGTAAAAGAAATATTAATTAATGCCTGAAATGTCCGTCGGGTATATGACTTCTGCCACGCCCTTTTGCTTGGGCAAAACACGCTCACACCCCAAGCCGTAATACCCAGGTTACGGCCCTGGTTGCCCTACTGTGTTTGGTGAAGCTTCTAAATAAATCAATAAAAAATTTTTTTGCAAGATCACATTAATTTCAAACGCTTGACTGATGACCCTATCAAACTAACATTGCAAGATCACGTCAAGCGGTTTTTGAACATCCTGAAGAATTCAGAATCCACCTCGCAATAAACATACAATGAACTTTTCCAACTGGCTTTCGCATTGAGATTTTATATGAACTTTCTAAAATCCTAAAAAAGCAATGTTTACTTAGGCCAATTCTTTACCCCTCTTCTAAGTCCTATATCTTTTGACACGTACTTGCATGATCAAAGATTCCTTTTCCTTTGTTGAAGAACTGTTAAAACTTAATCTGCTTAATTCTTCCAACTTGGGCATATGGCTTTCACTAACATCCCGATTGACGAAAATGCTGACATAATAACTAACCGTATTTTCCAACGCTGTTTGCTTTCACGGTATCACACTTTTTCACTTTTAAAAATCAAATTGCTAGGGTCAAAGAAGGGATCAATGTATTCTTTTAAGTGTTGATATTGTTCCATGTCATATGTTGGATCAAACTGTCCGTCATTTGCACAACCGAATATCGTCAGTCGGAACACTTACTACCCAGTTGCCGTCTCATAAGAAAAGACCCTTACGACAGGCAACGTGAGTGGTCATCCCTCACTCACAAGCATTCTTCAGCGTCTCCATATCATGCACTGGCTAAACAGCCTCATTGATGACTTCATATTTCTTTCATCTTGCGCCAACTTTGACGAACTCGCGAAAGTCTGTCCAGGTAAAGCAAGGTGCAAGTTCTGTCCCTCCGTTTCCAAACCCCAATTCCCGCCCCCCACTCTCATGCACTTCCTTGTTTATGTCTGTAATTTATAATAGATATAATAACTAATATAATAACTTTATTATTTAACCTTGTCAATCATGAATTTTACTGCCATATTTTCCCATTTTTGCTCAATGCCTTTGACAATTAAAAAACCATGTATTTGTGAGTATGCCTCTATTTAAAGTATTCTGCGCAGCTGCATGGGATCTTATTTATTTCTATCATATATAACAATAATTATACTTTTCCTGCCCGTAAAATCGCTCGTTATTATATTGATTTGCAGATCATTTCCTAAAGTCTTATAGATGCATTTAGTTACGTGCATATAGTATACATTTACATTTAGTCCAAATCAATTTGTTGAAGTAAACTAAAGGTATAAAACCAGAAATGAAATGCCGACTGGCAGGCGAAATATAGAATATACTGTTCGGAGACCCATGGCCATGCTGAGAAACGTGGGTGTAAACGATTAGTATTATATAGTATGCAGCGATATCTGAATCAACTCGGATACCTGATTTGTTAGACGGTTCAATCCCCAATTTAGGAGCCCAGATCAAGGAAACACAAGCTCATATGACATAACAAGCTGTTTGTAAATACTGTAATGATTCATGTGATAAAATGAATACATTTAATAAAAGCATTTCAATTTATAATCATAGGATTGCAAAATGTCGCAACTTTATATTAATTTACCTTTCAATAATAAAAAGAATGTCTGGATGATGCCAGTCATTATTGTCTGGTGATGCCAGTCATGAGTCAAAACCGTATTTTAAGAACTACATGTCCTTTATAATGGATGTTCCAATATTGCAAAGCATGCACTTCGCCCTAGAAATGGTGCCCAAATATTAATTTAATTGATTAACTTCGCCAGATAGTCTTAACAGTTGGTACAAAGTAATAATATACATTTAACGAACTAAATAGACCATATATAAGGCAGGGTGTTCGCATGAACAGCGCCTTAGCCAATTACTGCCATACTTGCCATGATATTGGTGACGACCGGCCTTGGACGTGAGTCCAAAAAATTTGACCCTTCATAAATGCGTGGCCTGAAAACCGTAATTTACCTACCCTATCTTCAAATTTACTATTAAATTTGCTATTAAATTTACCTATACCCTATCTTCTCCCATCAATCATTAATGACGCCATTATATAGAATATAGGCATGATTAGCAATTCAGCTTTTTTTAAGTCAAGAGCGCAAGAAGGTGTGGCAGAAGTGTAAATATACACGTAAACATCAGAGCATGGCTCGTAAAATATACATCAATCTGTTTTTACGTCTTCCTCAACGCATTGTAAAGTTTTTAATCAGGCCGATGGACGTGATGGGTTGTAACTCGCAGGTGCGGTAAAATAACGTATTCTCTTCATATCATAAGTGCAGGAAGTTCTCTCAAACATTATATAAACAGTTATTGGCTACATTATATACATCATCGTGTTGTGCCACGCTTATTCCTTGCCTACTGGAAGAACTAAAATTTATCAATTTTATCAGTGTATCGCTATCAGGAAATCTCATTCAGAACGGTTACTTGCGAAACATACATTATATCGTGTAACGTGAAGTGCATGACTTGGACCATAATTATGAACAACACGTCTCAACAATCACGTCTGACCGTATTTGGTTTCATAAAGTTACCACTGGAATACGAAGTCGAAAAAGATGTCGTCATGAGTTTTATAGCTTTAATGTCTTTCGTTGCTATCATTGCTAATGGCATTTTATTACTTGTGATTATTAAAGACCCGTTTAAACAATTGCGAACCATTACAGCCATTTTGCTGGCGTTTAACTCAGCGACCAATTTAGGCAGTTCCCTGGTGTTATTTCTTGACAATGTGTTTTATTGGTTTCATGGAAAACTTTCACCAGAATTGATCATATACTTCGGTTCATTTACTACGTGTCTGTACGTTATTGGTAACTTGTTACACACAATGAATACATATGGTGCGATTGTTGTTGCTGTTCGTTATGCTATATTTGCACCCAAAGTGCGGAGGTATTTGGTACAATCTTTGATTTTAACTTGGGTGGTAATTCTATTAGTGGTCATCATTCCTCCTTATACTTTACCAAAGGATAAGGTACCCACTTATGTAAAATGTATATTAACACTGATATGTGTTCTGCTAGCTGTGTTGGCGATCACGTTTGGTTGCATTTATACCAAAATATTTCAAACGTTATACGCACGTAAACAAAGACTTTCACTATCCTTTCATCTCAAACGTTCAACAGTTCGAGGTCGGGAAATAAACAAGAACAATCATAATGTTGTCAAGACATTATTTCTGCATGTTTTGTTATTTATGATAACCACAGCTCCTGGCAGTCTTATCATTCTAGTTTTCCTGCATTGTGCAACATGTGATCTTGTCAAACTTCAACTTGCAGCTCTCTTCACCATTCCAATTATATATTCTCCAATGGTGTTCTTACCGCTTCTCTGGCTGTTCAGGCTGAAGCAATACAAAAAAGCAATGATTAAAACACTCTGTTTTTGGCGAAGTGCCAGTTTTTGGCGAAGAAGATCCAAAAACTTAAAGATTCAGGCGAGCGTACTAAACGTAGAGAACAGGTCAAGATCAGAAAGCTGTACAAAAGAGCTGGAAAATCTATCTGTGGCTGTATGAAGACTCTTCATTGACCTTAGAAGTCCTTACGTCACGTCACTGTCAAACAATGAAAATTTGACCACATGCATCGCACATTGCATTGCGTATACCTAATGTTTAGAAAGATTGAAAATTGCGTGACGTAAGTAGTTCTATAGTCAATATAATTTAATTTATATCAAGTGCAAATGTACAAAACGTCGGACTATTGATATCTACTGTATATTGTGTATTGTGTACTATTCCAACCATAATGCTCATCTTGTGTCTAACCGTGCATGCATGGCTAGAGTTATAACGAAACAAGGTTATGATATCAGATCTTCCGAGACATAGGGAACAGATAAAATAGAAATCCCCTTCTACATGTCGCATTGATCACGTGTTAACAATGGACCAATAGTAATGATTGTTTGCTTAGGGGACGTAAGAAATGGCTTGCGTTTTACCAATACCTATATAGCCATGAGACAGTTATGGAAGAGGAGATTTGTACATACACGGGACTAAGTTGTGGAATGATTTGCCATATCTAATAAGATGTAAATTCAAATATTTAACTGTTTAAAAAGGTATTCAATGGTAATCCGTTCCAAAATCTACAACTATATCAATCCATGTAAAGGACCGTTCATTATTTATGGGGGGGGGGGGGACTGGGGGAACCTGATATTTTTCCAGATAAAAAAAGAGGGGAAGATAGAGCTATATATTTTAAAAATCATTACAGTGCGTCTACAGTAAGTCGGGCCACTTAGAGAACACTAACCAATCGCATTGCAGAACAAAAAGAAAAATCTAATCAAACTAAATATCGTCCAATCAAAAGAAAGATTCAGGAAGCCATTAACTGCAGTATTTACTTTTACAAGTCTATTTTTGCCGTTTGACATTCGTTTATTTGTTCAAATTGTTTTTGGCCTAATGCTGATTGGCTAATGCGCCGTTTGTTTATTTTTTCAATTTTTGTTCTGCAATGTGATTGGTTAGTGTTTTCTAAGTGGCCCCACTTACTGTAGACGCACTGTAATAATTGATGAGGGAAAAAACAAAAAGAAATCAGATGTACATAAACTCCATCTAGTTTGAATTTCTCCTGTTAGACAATGTTGATTTTCAAAATTACTATGGTCAAATAGATCCTTTCTGCTATTCAACACACTCGCAGTACATGTTTCATCAGATTTATTAAAACACTTGGGTATCGCCTCGTGTTATAAATCTGATAAAAGATTGCTGTTGGTGCTTTGAATATTAATACATAATATCAAACTTTCATTTCTGCTCTCTGTCCCTGCTGTACAAATTATAATAGGCAGGCTTATAGTTGCACACAAAAGGAATAAAAAACAAATATGTACATTTACTATGTTGTGAATTGTATATTGTAGCACTGTATACATAAAGAAATGCATATATAAATTGCGATGGTTGCAGAAGTATATGTGTTACTCATTCACTGTGAACAATATGGTACAATATTTTTATGTATTTTGTAAAGTGCATGCTATATACGGTAGTTATAGGAGGAACCTTATAATTTATTGTTAAGGTAAAGGAGAACCGAAAATCTAAGTTTGACTATGGGTGGGGTCCGGGGAAAAAATAGGAAAATTTGCAAAAATCGCCCATGCCCCCGCATAAATAATGAACGGTACGGTCCCTAAACATTAATTTTTATTTTATATTTCTGCTTTTATTTTAATTTTATATTTTTATAATCTTCAAAATTTAAATAAATAATTGAAAATTGATTGAAGATGGGATTGACGTTTGTGTCTTGAAATGTGATTTACTCCCTGCCGTGACTGCTGGTAATTTCTGTCCATAAATTTTATCCATGAAAACGGATCCAATATTACGTTTTTCTCGATGAAATTAGTTTTAGGATAAGGAAAAGCATTTAAGTCATTGAATGCATGTTCAATCAGTGGCTCGACTGAAGAAATATAACTGACCTACATACATGCAAAAATGACCATAATACAACACCTATTTTGTACTAGGAACATCGCGTTTGGCTTACAAAAAATGACACTGAATTTTGTTTCAATAATATACGAGTACATATAAGTCATGCACATGAGTCTGTCAAAATATGAATTACTAGCCTAGTAGAATTTCTAGCCTGTTTGAATTTTTCTGATGAAATAGAGTTTAAAATACTCATTAAAAATTCATCCTGTTCGCAGGCTATGTGGCAAATCATGTCAGCCATAATATGTCACGTGGAGTGATTTTATATCTGATAAAACTCATCTTCATTAGTATTCTTTATATAATTGTTCATCCTAATTAGTATGATTTTGCTGTCGTATTTTTAAGCTATTCAAAACACTCGAACTCGCGTTTTATCATATCTAAAACGCTCGGCTGAACTCCTTCTCGTGTTTTAAATACTACATATATAATGAATCTTTTATATGTAAAAATAGCCTGTTAGTATTAGCGCTCTCATATAATTAATCTTATTATATAATTAGTCTCACATAATTTTGTTCTTTGCTCGATTCAAACTGTATCAGATATCCTTTCACCCAATATACAGTATGAAATCCAAATTCATTCAATAAGTCGCTCGCTTTACATTATTTCTTTCTGTATTTCCTTGTTTAAAATTGATGTTCTAACAGTTTTAGGCGTGATTCGCGATCACCTCATGTAAAAAAGTTGTTTCTGTCATTATATAGGCGCGGTCATTAATTCAAGATCAGGAAATGTACGTCAACAACTGAACAAAGCCCGCCAAACTCGATATTTTTAAAGAGTCTTGGTCAACCACAATGCAATGCAATGCAATGCGTTCGTTTGTTTACGTTTCGTTACGTTGTGGGCCGAGGCAGCCATTTTGTGTGGCCTCGAAAATGGCGGCAACAATTGATAAAAGTAACGGGAAAACGTAAACAAAAGCGCGCATTGCATTGTGGTTGACCAGGACTCTTTAAATTAATTAAAATAATTATACGACAAGAGTCATCGCGTATAATTATATATTCGTGAGTCATGGTCGCGTGTCACGTAAAAACGTTTCGTCTAATTAGTTGGCTACCATAGTTTTACGCGACAGCCAAAACATAATCGAACGGTCATAGCAGTAACCTGGGAAGATATTTAAAGTTTATAGGAGGGATAAAAACTAGGGGAATCCCTGAAAAATTTGAAAAATTGAGGCAAGGAAATGCCATTTCCTGCACTTTCTGGCACAGAATTGAAGAATTTGGACAAATAATTACTAAAAAAAACTTGATGGAGTTAAAATCGCTGGAAAATTCGGCATAGCCGAACTATCTGGCGATGGGAAAAGCTCACGCTTTTTAAACAAGACATATAATTATGACGATTTGATCTATTTTAGGGCGGCTGATACCCCCTGTGAAAATTGTGACGAATGCTAATATATTTCATTGATCGCAATGTTGGTAATTTTGTAGCCTCCTCCGCAGGCATCTCACCTGAGAAATCGGGTGGTGAGAAAAAGTTTGGTGAGATTTTTTTTCAAAACCCATTCGCAGGCTAAAACCCATAGAGAGGCCTGCGGAGGAGGCTAGTAATTTTGTTGACTTTGTCATTCAGGCAGCGATCAAGAACCTTCGCTGATCGTTTTGGGAAATGACAGATGATAGGATCGAAATATATGACTTCAGTTGGGTCTCAAGATGGTTTTCACGATTTTAATTTTCGATGCTTGTTTTGTACTTTATGTGCATGATAACGTAGGAATAGAATGGAGAAAGCAAGGCAACTAAGCATTTAAAAAACTATTATGTTGAATCTTTATATTTTCCGCGTGTTAATTAAACAAAATTCGTAAGATACTGAATCTCCACGGAGGAGAAGATACGTGCAAAAAAAGTCCGTTCGCCTAAGCGGATGATATATAGGTGCATGTTAGTCCCTTGGTAATTTCTGGGCGAATAATTACTTAGGAAAGTGTATTTACAAGAGTGTGGAGTTTGGATACCTGGAAAATAATTTGAAGACTATTCCAGTGATAATATTCCACATGTTCAAGTTCATCTATTAACGCTTAACAAAAGCTACAACTCAATGAAATTAATTTATATTTTATTCATTAAAGTAACGGTTATTTAACAAATATAAAACATTTTCCGTGTTGATATTTCTGTACAATTTCGAGTTTTCCCAATTTCCACGAGTGTTGATATAACTGCATGTATATCAATACGGAATAAATGTTTTACTGTATATTTGTTTTATAATATTATATAGCACAAAGAAATATAAAGAAAGAAATTTTCCGACGTTTCCGTCTTGACATTGAGTTATATCAACACGGCTCTTAGCCAATCAGCGTTCAGAATTTACAAATGATATATTATAAATACAATTTATGAATTCAATGTCTGATTTATGTATTGAACTATCGTTAAAATATCGTTATTGACAACATTTAATTTTGTCCAAAACAAATTTCTTGCAGGGACACGTCTTCATAGAACAAAACAAGGCATTTTTTAATACCATGGACTGGTGGGGTATTTTCCCCAATGGGCCCCTTCCTCTGCCCCACCACTGAAGAAAAAAATGGCCTATTGCCCCAAAGCCAGGGCCCTAAGACCTGTATTGGGTAAATGAGTTTAACATTGAAAAGAAGTTTAACTAACAAAATTTGTTAGTGATTATATTTAAATTTATGTTGTGTAGCATGCAATTTATTACAAATTTCACCATTAAAACTTTGTTTTGAGAAGCTGAGATTTTTTTTTAAATGTGTTCTCAGAATGCAGAAACTCGGCTATTTCAGAGACCCAAATTTTAAAAATTTCCTGTGGGGGGGGGGAGCAAACCTCTAGACCACCGTAGCTAACTCGTGCCTGCGGCACTCGCCTCACACCTTCGGCGATCGCATACTATCCTGGGGGAGGGCAAGGAAAAGGGCAGTTTTGCCCCACCACTAAAGAATCCTTAAAAAATGCACTGGAACAAAAGATTTGCTCTAGAATTTTTACGCGAGTTACCCAAAAGTACTTATCAAGTTCTTAACAGTAGGATCACTTGTATATATGGTAATAGCGAGCTTAAGATCTACAACGCGAACTTACGACGCGGACGTCGCATTAAACAAGTTTTATTTTAAAACGATGGCAAATACCATTAAAATATTTTTATCACAGTAAATAAATTGAAATTATACTGGAAAAAATGTACAACATAACAGAGGCTAGCAATATATTAAGAAGATATTTTTTATCATAAGTTTTTACGACTTCTATGACAACGAATTTTTGCAAATATCACGTCGTCTCGGATGGTAGTTTTGGCGGGAAAATGTGCATTCGTAACAATAGTCTATAAAGCCTGGTTGCTATCATTTCGTATGGCTGTTAACGTGTCATAACAGTGTCACAAATCTCGCCGAAATAAACTGTGACAACTCTGACTAGGCTTACACTCGAAAACTAGGCTTAGCTAAGCACGTCCGCGTCGTAAGTTCGCGTTGTAGATCTTAAGCTCGCTAATGACTAATCACAACAACGTGCAGAAGGTCTATATTCATGTACTGTACTGTATGGATGTGATCCACACTGACTGAAGCCCGCCGCACATGCACGAGAGAAACTCGCTGAGCTAAGCGCCTCGCGTGACGGCTAGCTCAGCTATGCACTGTTTCACCGCACACGTTAGGAAAACTTCTCAACAACAGCATAATTGACAAATTCGTTTGCATTTTCCTCCATTGTGTTCAAAGTCACATGAAGAAACCATGGTTTGTCATTGGCTAATTGATTCAAGCAGCTCAGCACTCAGCTCACAACATCCGCAGACGTTGAGATTTTTTCCTCGCGAGGTGAAAAATATCAAACACGATAGACATTTTCCTCAAGGCCTCGAGAGGTCAATTCCTCACGAAAACTATCCGCACACGAGAGAAACTTGCTGAGCTAGCTGCCACGCGAGACGGTTAGCTCAGCAAGTTGCTCTCGTGTGCGGCGGGCTTAAGGTGTTACTTAGTAACAGTCGTCTTTGAAGAGGTAAATGTTATAATTAATGAATCTCATTCTTGCCTTTAAGAAATAGGAATTAGAGCATACACCATGCATGGTGTACATTGTAGAACACAAAATAATGTTTACTGTACAATAGCTTACATGATATAGATATATCGTACATGCATGCATGCATGGCATAGAGTCTACCGACAGCGCTAGCGTCGAGTCCATTTCTACACATCTCAATCTCGACCACTCTTTCTCTAAGTTTACTATAAGCTCGATCCTTTAGTCCCCTGAATCTCGCACGTTTTGGACCTTCTTCGCCACGAACTGAGTGTTTTGATCATTGCCTGTTTGTAGTTGTTCAATCTGAATAGCCAGAGGAGCGGTAAGAACGCCACTGAGGAAAAAATTATTGGGATGGTGAAGAGAGTTGCAAGGCGAAGCTTGACAAGGTCACATGTTGCACAATGAAGGTAAGCTAGAAGGATAATACTGCCAGGAACTGTAGTCATCATAAAGAACAAAACTTGAACAAATAATGTCTTGACGATATTATTATTCTTTTTCTTTATTTTCCGACCTCGAACTGTTGAACGTTTGAGATGATAAGCTAAAGAATATCTTCGGTTTTGTGCGTGTAAAGATTGAAATAATTTGGTATAAAGGTAGCCAAATATTATCGCCAACAAGGCAAGCAGAACACACATCAGTGTTAATATACCTTTAGCATAAGTGGATAAATTGTCATTTGATAAAGTATAAGGAGTAATGATGACCACTAATACAATTACCACCCAGGTTAAAACTAAATATTGTGCCAAATACCTCCGTACTTTGGGTGCCAATATAGCATAACGGACAGGAATAACAATCGCACCATATATATTCACTGTATGTAACAAGTTACCAATAACGTACAGACACGTAGTAAATGAACCGAAATATATAATCAATTCTGGAGAAAGTTTTTCGTTAGACCAATAAAATACATTGTCAAGAAATAACAGGAAGGAATTGCATAAATTTGTCGCCGAGTTAAATGCCAGCAACATTGCTGTAATTGTTCGCAATTGCTTGAACGGATCTTTAATAATCACAAATAATAAAATTCCATTCGCTATGATGGCAACGAAGGACATTAAAGCTACAAAACTCATGGCGACATCTTTTTCGACTTCGTATTCCAGTGGTAACTTTATGAAACCAAATACGGTCAGAAGACTTGGTTCAGTTGATTGTTGAGAAGTGGTGCTAATATTTGACATATTTTTCTCGCGGCTGACATTGCCCATAACTTAACAGAATTTAAGTTAGGCGGTCAAAAGTATTCACCTTTACAGGCTTTAGATTATGTCCAGGTTATGCAGTTAACGTTAATTGCATACACGATGAAGTATCAACCATATCTTGTATATGTTTTCCAAGTAATCTTTGTTGTAGTGATCCACTAATAGACTATTGATTTAGTTCTTCCAGTATGCAAAGTATGCATATAGCATCACGCAATGATATATAGTGCTGTAGTGCATTAAATAACTGTTTACATAATTTATGGTAACGTACTTCCTGTACCTGTACTTACGATATAAAGAGATTGCGTTGTTTCTACCGCCTACGAGTCACAACCTGTCATGTCCATCAACGAACACTATCTGTTGGATTAAAAGAACTGACGAGGAAGGCTTAAAAAACAGAATTATAGTGTTTTAAGTAAAAATGTATGCACTTGGATACTATTTAAATAAAACGAGGGATTGTGTGAAAGTGCTCAGACGTTTATATGCAGTATAGTTATCATATATTATGCGTCTTCCGGTCACACCTATATGGCGCGTCTTGGCCGGATATGAGTTTTGAGAGCCGCTCTTGATAAGCTGAATTTCTAGTCACATACCAGAATTAATGTAAAGCAAACCCGGCCTTTGCCGCAGCTTTATCCTTTACCGCCGCCATCTACCCTTTCTTTAATATCAAACGAGAAAGCTCGGAACAGCTACTGAACCCATCCTCGTACCTGGCCTCTACGCTTGGAGTTATGTCTTTGATAATTTTTAATCTATCTATCTATCTATCTAAACTAGAAGTTACTATCGCAAAGAAACTGCCGCCTCATCCCCAATGGATCAAAGCCAGCATGTACAATTTGCTGAATAAGGCTGAGGGGCTGTTTGTATGATCCTGCTTTGCCAGGACGAGATACGAGGCAGGGCGATTTCGATGTATTGAAATAAGTCATGGTCTACATCATTTCAGTTCTGTTAACCAGCATTTGAACTTTCAATTAGCCTAGAGACTTATTTCAATACTCAAAATCATCCCACCTTCCATCATGTAAACAGCCCCTAAGACCTGTTCATGGGGTAGAAAAAGTGCATTTTGAATACCAAACAATTTGCACAATGTTGAAGGTCGGCTAAATATTCTATTTCTACTTTGTTGGCATGGGTGATTTTATATGAATACCTTCAATGCTAATAACGTCTTGCTTTTGTATGTATAATTATAATACTGTCAGTGGTGAAGCTAGCCATAGCAACAGGTCATGCTATGCAAGTTTTTAATTATTTGCATTGTAGGTTTATTAGCATATCATGACCAGTTGCCATGGCTAGCTTGCCACTGAATACTGTACAATATCATATATATATATATATATAAACAATAATAATACTTGAATGAATCATTGGACATGTAGAATTTAATAACAATTTCATATATAGAAATAAGTCAGTTTTTGTCCCAATTATCATTTTTAATGGCACCTTCAAGGCTATCACAGAACAACTGAATAAATTGCAGAATAATCTGCTGATGGGGAGACAAAATCTATTTGTTGACATTATTGTCTAATGCGTCTGCTTCAGATGACACCATTCATTTGTAATGACTAAGTTGTACTCAGTCAGAACTGCAAAGCTATATAATATAGGAACGAATTTGTGAGCATTATCGAAAAATATAGTGTACCCTGAAATGTAGTGACACAGGCACACAACCAGGGTGAATATATGAATGTAGGCCGGTAGGATTATTTCATATTTATGCTAACAATGGACATATCTCAGAGATATATTTTTACAGACCGCCATACCTTGTACAAAAATCGGTTGACATGTTATATTAAATATATTAATTCATGTAGGCTATTAAACTGCTGGTACGTTAATATATGCAGACAACAATCCACACTGTCGTCTGTCGCCGGGTTATGGTTGCTATACGAAATATCTTTACATTATAAAGTATACACAACATTCAGCGTTTGTTTTTAAAACGTTTGAAAGCAAATTGCTATGTCTATGAACATCTAGAATGAACACTATTAAACTCATTGCCTTGGCAAATCGCCACGCAAGCAAATATAAAACCAAACGTTACGGAGCTGTATTAGTGCCATTGAAATATTGCGCTTGAATTTCATATTTCTCGACTTTTTTCTCGCGTCTGAAATTTTTTCTCGCATCTAACATTTTTTCTCGCGTTTAACTTTTTTTCTCGCGTCTGAAATTTTTTCTCGCGTCTAACATTTTTTCTCGCGTCTCAAATTTTTTCTCGCGTCTAACTTTTTTTCTCGCGCTGAAATTTTTTCTCGCGTCTAACATTTTTTCTGGGTTAGGATAAAACGCGGATACGGACGGACGGATGGATGGCGGACGAACGGACGGATGAGTGGCGGACGGACAGACAGATGGATGGCTTTCAAAAAACTTTTTCAGCCTATTTTGAGTCATATCCGCGTTTTATCTAAAAGGATAAAACGCGGATATGGTCAAAAGAATGTCAATGCAGTTATCGGTTTAAATATACCTACAATTCCCGTTAAAATATGACAATTTTTGTACGCAAACGCGAATTCAACAATTGCCACTTTCAAGATTAATTTTCTGTTATCCGGTCGTGTAGTAATCTAACTTTATGCGGCCACTTTGACATATACATTGGCATAAAATGCATTAGTTAAATTAGATTACTACACGGCCGGATAACAGAGAAAATTAATCATGAAAGTGGCAATTGTATTTCGGTGTTCGCGTAAAGTAAGGCCGTACTTTTAGTGACTTCTAGATATATTTCAACCGAAAACTGCATTGAAAAGCCCTAATTGAAAACAGCACATTACATTGGCATAAAATTAGATTACTACATACCCAGATACTACAGAGAAAATTAAGCATGAAAGTTGCAATAAATTGTAGCTAATTTGCATGCATGCAGCGTAAAAGTAGACCATACGGAATTTGTCTTATCTTAATTAAAGAGAATCAGTTTAGGTATATTTAAACCGATAACTGCATTGAAAAACCCTTGAGAAACAGCACATTACATTGGCATAAATTGGATTACTACATGCCAGATAACTGAGAAAACTAAGCATGAAAGTTGCAATTGTAATTTGCGTTCGTGTAAAGGTAGGTCGTACGGAAATTGTCTTATCTTAACGGGAATTTTATGTATATTTAAACCGATAACTGCATTGAAAAGCCTTTGATAAACAGCACATTACGTTGGCATAAAATTGGAGTATTACATGCCAGATAACTGACACTAAATTTAAACTTTATTAACACTAAATTGTAATTTTAGGACT